TATTTATTTATTTATTTATTTATATTTATTTATATAATACGCTCATAGGCGCGCCACTTTGTTAGTGAACGCAACATAACGACGTCAGTGAAGTTTATGGCACCAAAGAGATTCAAAAAACAGAAGAACATCATATCCCATGTAAATAAATTTCAAAAGTTTCGCGATCTATTCTCGGGGGGGGAGGAGGGGAGGAGGAGGAGTTTATGTACTTCAAGATTAATTATGGGAGGAGAATGCCAGTTTTGTTGGTGTAACGTTATCAACTTCGAGATCTTCTAGCAATGAGCTTGAAGTAAGAGAAAACAACAAAATTTCTCAAAATTGGTAATTTTTTGTGTCTGTACGGACGAACAATGTTGTTGAAATGGATATGCATATATTTTCCAAAATCAAAAAAGTTACGAAGTACGGTATTGGAAGTGCTATACTATAGCTGCTAATCAAATGGCAGAAAAGCCATTTTGGAGCATAAAACAGTCTTAGAACGTCTGAACGAACGCAAAAAGTTACCAGTTTCCTTGAAAAATTTATTATTTTTTAGAGTATTCTTCGATGGAAGGATAGCCAACGAATAAACGAATACGTCCATAGACTTGTGCCTTTCCACGCCTTACTTCTTTTCCTTTATGTGGGCTATAAAGCAGTATATTAGAAGAGCAAGAAGCTGATATGATGCGATGAGGTGCCTTGACAAGCTGTAGAAACTATCATTATCCATTGTTTCATACTCCCCCCCTACGATGTTGCTCTTTTTGGGTTAGGAAGTCGCTCGCTTCTACAGCACCGAGTGAATCAATAAGTCTTGTGTAGAGCCTTGGGCTTTTGTCTCGATATTATCTCTAAGATTTATTTAAATTTCGCAAGATGCAATTTCTGAGAGCAGCTCGTCTTTCACTCAATGGCAACGTCAGCTGCTCTTGAAAATACTGAAACTTGACCAATGAATTGCTGTAGATACGATTGAAGTTTTGACAAACCTATTTTACTACATATAAATGGCTGTTCAAATAAGGTGAGAATTTGGCTTGTAATCCGCATTTTTGAGAAATTGCTACGGCTTGGAAGAGATTTTGTCTGCATGAGATTCGCACCACAATTGTCTTCTCCTAAATAGACCATTTCTCCCACCAGAACACTTCTTCTGCAGTGAAGTACCGGCTCAAAAAATATATTGACTCATTTGGGAAAAAATTCTTCACATTCTTTGGCTCTGCTCTTTGGTGTCGATTCGGTTGATGACATTGCATTGTAAATGAAAGAGAAGCGGATAGTGGTTATAGGGCGCAGGAATAAATAGGCAAGAAAATAGCTCAGCTATAAAAGCAGTATGTGATATGTTTCTGCGGCTGTACACTTGAGAAGCTTCCGCAACACTTTCAGCCATTAATCTCGTAGAACGCATTTCTCGCCGCTAATTTTCGGCGATTGAAATGCGTTGAAATTTGGAGGAAGACGACGTTGAACCGATTTTAATCCTTGATGGATACTCGACGAACACGTCGTCGCTAATCAAGAAACGTGAGGGTGGCCGGCCAGATTGAATTTCGGATTCTCCACCTTGCAAATGAAGATTTTTGGTCGCTCGATGCCCGTTTCCGGCAGGTAGAATGAAATCATTTTCCTTTAACAAGCTGCAAAAAATTGAGAATTGGCCCGTAGTAAAACCGTAGTAAACCCTTAGCCTGCTCATTTGAACTGATATTACCCGCTCATAAGAACTTTTTGCGTTCAGCTAAGGCCCGCATTAGCCACGTTGTGCTGAAGGAAGGGGCTTGCTATGGGCTTTGGTTAAGAATTCCAAAAAGAAGGTTTGTACTTGGTTGATTTCAGAACAATTCAATAAAGTTCCTCACGTATAAAAAATATAGTTGTTAGAGTGTGATAACATCAACTTTCTTGAGAAGTACCGCTTCTAAATGTCAGCCTATTTGCTTTTATCTATTATGTAGATCGTTCCATGAATTGATAGAGTTTTCATTCTCAATCTCTTCTCTTTGAAGAGCGGTTGATTTGATGATTTTTTCAAGACGCATGCATTTATTGAGAAAAGCTAACCCTACCCTTTAGAATGAACAATTTCGGCAAAGAAGCATTTTGCACATATTTTTTTGCCGATCATGGAAAATGGCATCTTCTCGTCAATGTGAGACAAGAAAGTAGTGGATTACCAAGAGTTTACAAGGTGACTCCTGAACAAGACTTTCTGCAGGGTGGGCAGATGGTTCTGCACTAGAAATTGCTAGCCAAGATCAAGACGGTCGCCTATGCCGAACGCAACCCGGCTGCACCGTCTGAACAAATCCCTAATGCAGAAAAGGCTCAATAAACAGGTCAGTGAGCTTTCCTTCGCGATAAAACTTAGCCCTCTAGCCCTCTACGGCAACCCTCGTCACAGCTATCCTGACAGAGTTGACTAGGAGGTTAATTAGTATCCGATATACTCCTGAGATCTCGCTCTAGCATATTATCATCTGTTCCAATCTATTATCACAAATCAAGATGCGTCTGTTCTGATATTGAAGACGATCTCAAGCGCTGGTTAGACGACTTTTTAGGACCAAACCCGTTGAGTCCTGAAAAAACGGAACTGAAAATTCGGCTTAATTGAAATTGCACTATTGGCTGAATTTTGCAAAAAATTTTGTCAGTTATCGTTGACCGGCGTTCAAGTGATGGGGTATATCATGGATGCCGCTTTCCAAGGCAGTATCCGGGCAAAAACTTGACTTTGAGATTTTGTGCTTACACGGGCCTATTCGCCATGCTGAATCCAAAAATCCGCACTGGAAAGCGTGAAAATGGCAAATAAAAAGGCTTTAGTGCAGGAGGGAAACAGCGAGTGGGCAGAGTCCTCCCCAGAATTCACGCTCCCAGCTTCCGGAGCGGTTTTCTCGATTCCGTTAGCCGTTCTAAGATCGCTACCGTCCAAGTGCAAATGATTGACTTGAAAGCGGAAGTGAGAAGATCGCTCCGGAAGTTGGGAGCGTGAATTCACAGTGGGAAGGACCCCGCCCACCTATTGATTACGCTCCTGTGTTAAAGCCGTTTTCGCCGTTTTCGCGCTCTCTAATGTGCATTTTCGGGTTCAGCGTAGCGAGTATTCCCAGGTAAGCACAAAATCTCTTTTTATATAATAGTGCTCAATAATATAGTTCAAACTTAAGTTATCACGTTTGAACAGAAATTCTCTTCACTTGAGAAGAGCACCAGTTTTCAGAGCAGATCAGAGCAGATATAGAGCATATTGCGTGAATGAAGGTTGTGGCAAGCTTTTCTTTGAAAATTTCCCAATACCACAATATGATGAAATGGCTCGCTTGCAATGCACAGATGACGATATAGCACGAAATTTGTTCTGTGAACGCACAGTTGAACTAGGAAATAAAGTATGAAAATGCTGAAAAACTTATGTGAGGAGAGAGAGTGCCTAACTTTCTCCCAAATTAAATGGGCAGTTGCCCGCCTGATGCCTACCTAAGGTAGGCAAAACTTTCATTTCACATGAATTGTTCAAAAATTTTACAAAATTTCCTCTACATCTATTTAGTATATAGTAACATTGGTTCCAAAACTTCTCCTCTCCCCCTTGTTAGAATCGGAATAATAACGACGCCGGTAATTCAAGGAAGCGCGATCCAACGGAACAACCTAAGCAGCTGGCGGGATCAAGTGGGAAATCGTAAAAACCGATAGTGACAAATGCGAAATCGCTCCACTGATGTCCATTTGCCCCCTTCGTATTGGGCCCTGATTGGATATTGCTATAGACCATTTCGAAGAGTGTGGCACAGACTAGTCCGCAAGTTGCAAAACTGCAGGCTCTGAAAGTTGTGCAGGTCTATCATCTGCCGAAAGCGTACGTCTAGGAGCAATGTATTGTTGTTCTAAAGTATCAGAGTTCGGCTGGTGAGCCTTCAGAGCTGGAGAGCTTATTTGATTTTATCATTTTTTACTCCTAATATTTCGATTCAAATAACTTTCAAAAAAGCCAGAATTGTCAGGCACTTCAGCAACTAGAGTAATCGCTATCACCATTCCAAAAAAAACTGGCTTTGATAGATGAATTTTTTGAGCTTCAAGATGCCCTGCGCTACGCGCATCCCTTCTCTCCTTTTGCGGTTATTAAGATATTCGGCTGCCTCTATAAAACCGGGAAATCTGCTAGTATCCTCTAATTCTGAGCGATTTTTGAAATGGCTAAGCTTTGACTTGCAGTTATAATCCTTTAAAATTAATGATACGATACGTACGTATCAGTCCTTTTTCCTTTTTCTTTGTGCACAGCACGATAATCTGTCCTCATAAACTGCGTCAAGCCGGTCACTGAATATTTCAATCGAGCTGTTTAGGAGAGCATTCCTCTAATCCTGCAAGATGCTCAATGAGGTAGATTACCAAACATGAATTTAGCGATACATCCAGACGTCTGTCAAGTAAAGCATGCTATCTATAGTGTGAACTTAAACAAATGCAAAAGCAATTTCACACTGCTGAGATAGAGCCGTAGTCAAACTTGGTTGTACAAGAAAATCTCAACACATTTGTCTATAATATTGTCAGCATCCATAGATAGTCAGTCGATTATCAGCGAGCGTGTAATACGCGCTTATAATGTAAATTGTAAGATTCTCAAGATACACATGTAAGTGATAATCACACCATTTACATGGCCTTCAATAACCATATTGGCACTTCAGGTCTATCGATGGCCTGTTCGTTTTTTTGGTAATTTAGAAACTCGAAGATAGCAGTATACAAAGTACGAACCAAAATTATTTGGTCAGCTGCAAAATCTCCTCATGCATACGTGGCTAATAGCGAATAATTGACTGTACGTCTTTCACTAGCAAAAGTTATGCCAACTATAGCTTTTTCTCTTTCGCATCGTCCGCATTATCTTCTGTTGTTGTTGCATTTTTGTTCAGTACCTAAAAGTGATTATATTTGGAGTTCTCTTTTTTTTCTAAATGCCTGCGGTTTAAGGTTATGCCCCGAAAATGGAAGACGAGATGCGGCATTTTTGCCAAGCGCATTTTCGTTTCGTGCTTGCCTTTTGTTGTGTGCCTTTCTTTGGTTTATTGCAATGTGTATCAAGACTTGACAAATTGGAACGACTAATGTCTTTGGTAATTGTTCGAATTTCTTGGAACAATTCCTTTCTATTTGAAATCAGTTTTCACTTTTCACAGTGTGCTCACATGCGTTTTGAAGGTTTCCTCTTGGACAATTTCTGTCTTCATGATATAAAAGTGATTCATTGCGTGAAAAAGGCAATGACTCGGCAGGACTGATCGTTTTAGCATTTTCATATGGTACATTACTTACCCCGAGATATGAAAGTAGGGCATTTTCGGTTGCAAGCATGTTCACTGTCTAGAAAACTGCCCTCAAACCCGTAAGCGTGAGTCAGAAGAAGCTTGCTGGTAGCAGCTTCAAAATTGCGTGGGAATCAGACTGTCGACTATTGTCGGAAACACCTCACCAGCATTTCTCAATAGAATAAGAACCAATTCTACTTTTCATATTTCTTGATTCACTAAGCTCTTGGTAAAAACCTCTTGAAATCTGTGACAGTTTTTTGACAGTGAGGTCTTTGAACTGAACTTTTCAAATAAATTGAAGTTTATTGCAAGGCCTGAACATTCGTGAGAAAACTTAAAGCTCTGGATCAAGAAATATCAGGATTGGATTTGCGAAAAAGACTGAGATCTAGTTGCTAAAATTCTAGAAGCGAAAGAAAAACTACAGGTAAGACTAATAACCAAACATATATTTTATGCTGCAGCTCACATATTAGGTTGCAAAGAAAGTTGTGCAAAGGGTAGCTAGTCTGGGATGTGTTCTTAGTACACGATGGTCTCAGCTACCAAGTACGCTATTCATTATTATTTATTCGTCGAAACAATAAAGATAAACTAAGAAGAAATGTTTAAAAAAGAAAAAAAATCTGTTGTGCTTAGGTCTGCAAAAAGGCACCTTTTTTAGAATATAGAACTTGCAGAAGGTCGATTTGAAAATCCATTTTGTATCTCTCGTATTGGTTAGATGTGGCGATATCCGACCATAACTTGTACCGATATCTGGGCCTTTTTTCAAATAAGAAATAACTCATTGAGTTCACGGTTCAGAAAATCAAACTCTCCACCTTCTAAACGCAGCCAGCGCTCTTTTTGGAAAAGAGCATCCATTATATACTTAACCAGTAGTCCAAGGTTATCAGTGCACATAACCAAAATATCACTGACTGACAGCCACTCATAATGAAGTATAAATAAAACAGTTTAGCTCAACCCTGTTGGCAGAACGTTCGTTACAATCTAATATCATCAACTGTAGAACAGAAACGTCCTAATTCTAAAAGGAGAAAAACTTTTGGATCGATATAAAGTTGACGATTCCAGATATGTATGTATATGGCATTCAAATGATGACTACCCTATGCCACTGAGCGTATGTATAATAATACAATACAGAAACATTATCCATTTCAAGTGCCTCGAGTGAAGATTTGCCGGTGAAGAAAGGAAAGGTGTTCAAAAAAAAAACTTCTCTAGCTTTTGTTGGCACGGTGTAGCTTGATTTTCCCCAGCTTGAAAGAACGTGAAAGCAAAGTGGAGCAGTTGTATGTCACACCGATCTACGCTTGAATCCGACTGATACGGGTAAGGCGTTTTACGAGTTGGAATGGCTTACGTACGCTGCAAAGAAGCAATCACGCTAGGTTATCTCTGTAATACAAAGCTACAAGAAAGAGTAGAGCTTCATACGAAACAGATGTATTTGAAAATATGGTCTACTGGATCGTTTTTGAGATAAATAGGAAGAATGGTGAGTTTGACAAGTTTATGCTCTACATACTCATAAACAAGCTGGTCAGTTACATGTCAAAATAGAGTAGACAATAACCTCAAAAATGGAGCTAAATTGCGGTTCGCAAACGCCTAGCAATGGCTATGAGAGTGTTTGCAGAACCTGAACGATAGATTAAGCAAACGTCGGGATTTAGAAGCACTAGCTAAGGTCGTTTGTGAGCAACCGTACCCGAGAAAATGTAGGGGGACAACTCAACTGAAGAGGGCTTTGAACGCTGAACAGGTAAATGAAGGCATAAAAACAGGAACAAATGAGAGCTACAGGCAGAGGAGAACAAAAACAAGCAACATATTTTTATTTTTGTTACTTAGATTAATTGAACTAATAGAAAATGCGCACCGGTTTGCAATGTCGCCCAAAAAGAAATGTTGCTGGATTCTGCACTACAAGCCCCGTATATATAAACCAAAACTTTACAGCCTCTTGTGCATACGTTCACTGAGCAAAAGCTGTGTTTATAAACTCTTCATTCAAATTGCTGCCATTGCAATATAGTATGCAAGCGGAAGTACGCGGCGTACGAACATACGTCAAGTACGTCCGTACGCCGCGCACTCTGGCTCAACTCTCCGCTGACCACGCACTTGTATAGGGCTTATCAAATCTAGTGTCGTTTGCACCAGCATCTCCACCTTCGCTCTGGACTCTACGTCTCTTCTGCGGCACATGGCTTGCGGGATTACGCAGAGGAGTGATGCTATGCTGAGGACCTTGAATTTCGAGGTAGGAGAAGAAAGGTAGCTTGTACGCAAACCAAAAAGCAATCAGCCTACAATGTCGAAGGCTGGAAATTGTGGCGTTGTTAGTCGTCGACACGGAATAGTAGGACCAGCAGTAGATGTACATAACTGGTGTCATAGGACCACGTCCCTGCAATACCCTCTTCCCCCCTCCCCTTCCTCTCTCCCCTTCTCAATAAGAACTTAACCAAGAAAACAGCAGCATGTTCGAAATTTGTGTGTTGTAAAAGGCGACATTACAGCCTTTATTGGCAATAATGACACTTACCTTTTATGTATTTTGTTCGTCCTTTTGTCATTCAACATTCTAATCCAAAATGGGAGCAGAAGGTATACAAGTCGAAGTCTTGATCAGTGACGCAGCATTTTGGTTTTGGTTCACGCAAATGTGGCAGAGATACCCTTTTCGTACTTTTGATTTTTTGTCCTCTTGGTGCGGCTATAAGCCTTTGGCTGCACTTCATTCAGTGGAAGAGAAGATGTTAACTGTGAGAAAAGTTTTTGTAATCATCGAGAATGTTAGAACATTTTTTGGCAGAAAATCATTCGCTTGTATCTTCTAGGCTGTTTCATCTCCCGACTTTGTAGAATTGAAAATAAGAATCAAGCTTTTTCTCATGAATGAACTCATTTAAGGTTATGCGCGCTTGATATGCTTCGATGAAGAACGAGAGTTTACTGCATTTTTGTAGCCACTTGGATTCTGGTGCTTATCTATTGTGTGACTTTCTTTTGTTTGGTGCATTATATATCGAAGCATGACGATCTCGAACAACTATCAAGAGCGGTAAGCCTGCATAGACCCTTCTAAATGGTAAGGAAGCTCCTCATGCGCTCATCTAGACGTCACAAGATCTCAAATTAACAGAAAGTATCACTCTAGCTGTAAACCATTTTGAGTATGTATGAGCTGTTAACGGTGCAAAAGCGCTTCGAATAAAAGTCAAAAACAAGACAATGCTGTAACTGCGCAAGTGACGCTGTGATTGTCAGAGAAAATTGCACAGCTGATTTCGATTGCGCAGAGCTGCCATGAGCTTGGTTATGGTTTGTGGTGGCAAGCGTGCGAGAGAAGGTTATTTGTATTAGGTTGTCCCAAAAGTAAACCGTATTTTTGAATAAATCAAAATATTTTCGTTTTCCTGGCAGACTTGGGGTACCATTCGATAGAGCGAAGCAAGCTCTGCAAAATGACCACCAAGGGTCCGCCTAAGTCGCATTCCATGTAAAGTTTGAAGCCAAAATCGAAAAAAATTTTTCACCTGAAAATTGGATTTTCGCGAGGAAAAACCCTACGGACCCCCAACTTGGTCATTATTCAGCAGACACATAGTAGTACTCAAATAAGCTTTTGCCGAATTTTTTCCGAGCATAGAAAGCGAGAAACAAAAATTATCCAAAAATGGCAAATTCCGCCCCCAGCCCTCCCACATATGTCATTGTATACTACAAGCCCTATTAAGTATAATTTCAAAACCCTACCCCTGTATGTGCTCTTATATTCGAGAAATACCAAGTTTTACATAAAAAACCCGAAAAAGTGGCATTTTCGCATTTTGGGACCCCCTCTGTTTCTCAATTTTGAACTCCGGAAAAAATCAGCCAAAATTATTTTTCGATACAACTATGTGTCTACTATAGAAGGACCACGTTGGAAGTCCGTAGGAATTTTCTGGAAGGAGATCCGATTTTTAAGGTAGCTGAAAAATTTTGATTTTTGGATCCAAATTTCACCTGATAGCGACTTAGACGGTTCTTTGGTGGTCGTTTTGTAGAGCTTGCTTCGCTCTATCGAATGGTCCCCCAAACCTGCCAGAAAAACAAGAATAGTTTAATTTATGCAAAAATACGGTTTACTTTTGGGACAACCTAATAATAACCTTCCTTTCGTTGAATTCTGTTTCCCCCACCATTTTTCTACTTATTCAAACGGTGTTGAAGAGTTATACGTCATCTCAGAAATTTTAGAAGCATTGATAAGTTTGATTTGTTTCAGCAATCTATTCACTACTTTTCCTGTGTATTAGTCCCCCAGATCTAAGTTAGCATAAAACCGATCAATTCGACACAAAAAGATGGTAATTCATAACAGCAAAAATTTATTTATAGCCGTGATCTCTTATTACAACCTCTCCTCTATATGTAGTTTGACGTTTGTCATGAAAATCAATAAGTTTATGGAAATCGATGAGGAACATCGTCTGTGGCACCCGCTCTCTGTTTTATGGTGCGCATGTGCAAATTTCGGTTTTGCTAGAAACATACGTCAAAACATGCAAATATAATTAAGCAGGCAGTAGCTTCTATGTACAGGATGTCATCTTACGACATCGACGATGCTGCGCATTAAATCATTGCCTAGATCAAAATTTGCTTGTAAAGCGAGAAACTCGTCTAGGTTGAGATAAAGCAGGTGGCGTAGTAGTGGCACCGCCCTGACCAATTTCCATAAGTTCAGGACTTTAAGATAGTTAAAAAATGTGGTTTTATGAATATCAAATAGGTCAGACTTGCTAAATAAAAAAGATGTTAAATTTTTATAATTTAAGAGAAGAGCTTTGCCGCCTTGGCTGCCGGAAAACGACGGCATCAGGAACTGGACCGTAGAGGAAGATTACACAAAACTCTTCACCATAACATCGTATAACAATTTAGAGTGGTTCAGAACATGATTTCAAGTTCTCTCATTTCAATCAGACATTCTTTGCGACTGACGTGCTCACAACATATCCTATCAAGCTCGAAGAACGGATGAAATGCAATGTTGATGCGAAAGGTAAGCTAGAAGTAGCCCCAAATACATCAAGTTGAGAGAAGCAGCGCATTTGCATTCAGCATCACCTAAGCTAATTCTTTCTTGGAACGCTGGATTTTCGCAGGAAAATCTGGGCGGATGTCCTGATTGGAACTGCAGATTGATCGATGACAAGGACAAGATCAAGGAAGACGATGCGGTGTGATTTTACATCTTGTATATAACGATTACTTCAAGCAAGTCCACGTTCAAGCCGCATCCACACTGCAATTGCAGCGAAGTTACAATCGCTGTGCTACTTCCGTGCCGGCAAGCGGCGATGGGCCTTGTATCCTCATGGGTCCCGGCACAGTTGTCGCGGCTAGCGATGCGCGTGCTCCTCAAAGTATGGAGGCCGGGAGCACCGGTTGATTCGCACATCCGATTGCGATTACGGTTGGCTTAGCTTCGCCGTCGACCTCTACCGGCTGGCGCGGAGCCAACAAAATGGCTGTATAAGGCGGCAACGCCTAATTTGTTCGCCTGTCCACTTTCGACTTCATCAAATACTTTTGTCTATCATTTATTTCACTCCGTTTCATTCATACGCTCGAGGCGTTCCAAATCAAAAACATCAATGTGTTAGTCACATGAAAACACAACGTAACAAAAAATCAACATGTCATCCCAAGCCCAGTCTAGGCGATTATATAAAGAAATAGTATAGCGATAATGTAAGGAGCTTGCATGACATGTTTTGGTGATGCACGTAATTTTGCGCTTGCATGGACTCTAAGGGTAAATACCCATGCCCCGCGTTTGCCAGCAAAAAACGATCTTTATCTTATATATAAAGCTGAATGTGTGTCTGTCTGTCTGTCTGTCTGTATGTATGTATGTACGTATGTGCGGAATAGAAATTTTTATTTCTCGACCGATTTGGACCAAACTTGGCTCACATATACTTCGGGGCAGGGAGCGTGTCATAGACTACTTTTCGTTATCGATCGATATCGATTTTATCGATTTTTTGCAAAATTTGAGCTACAGGGCTGGGAGTTGGCACAGGGGGGTAATCGAGCATGCTGATTACAAATATATTATTGACAGGCCCGGGCGGAGCCGGGTTTGCCAACTAGTATATTCATAAAAGCAAGCCGGAATTTCGTCTGGCGGATATACTGGCAAGCCCCGCCCAACACGGCTTGCTGCAGACGGTCCTGAGATTTCAGTATTGTATCATCGTGCCTTGAGCTTCCGCGATGTGTTTTTGTTGTAAACCAAGCGGTAGAAACGGTTGCACTGGATTTTGGGAAAGTTCAAGCGCAGGACGCGCAAAATAAAAGCATCTCCTTTTGTAATTTGTTGAACTACTATCATCAGAAGCGGAGAGGACTGCACCGTTTTCTTTGGGTCTGGACGACTGGCGACAGATCTGTTGAGCGAGGCCTCGGGAAGTTCATGTTTTGAGATAAATTAATGGGGCCATCGTTAGCATGGGGCGATGCGTGTGTTTATTTTCTCCGTGATTTCCTAGTGTGGGCTTTCTGTTGTAAAGGTAAATGTATTCAATCTACTCGGTCCACTTCTCTTCATCGGCGTTTGCGCGCTATTATCGTGTTGTTTTATACGGGTAGGGGTACCTCGGCAGCGGCCGATAGGGCGTCGCGTACCTTATCGGACGCGCAACATTAAGTAGGGGACAATAGAGACCAAGGGTGTAGATGCGGCGAGCACTTGCGGAAAGTGCTGATCGGCAGTCATAGCGTTGCAGTCATACTGTACGCAAGCAGCTTGCGAAACCTTACAAAATATGCTTGATAAACACACTTTCATGCACTTTTAGATAATGCTCTTTTGAGAAATTCACATCTTTATTTTCCCTCTTCCTCTATCCCTTTCCCGGAATAAGATTTGCCACTGTCATACACTCCATCTATAGAATTTCGATGGTAGGCCGGAAGGATAATGACGAGAAAGGGACCTTGCTTTCCTGCAGGTTAATTTACTGTCTTCGCTTTTCCGTCTGCTCGGCACACGTATTTATTATGGGCAAGGAAACCCAAAGATTTCTCTGCCGCTTCGTGTTCTTTTCGAGAAGAATGACCTGCTTTAAGTATGCTAGGATACGGAGACTTTCGCGGCGCTGCATTCAGTATGGTATCAACATGACTTCACTTTCAGGTCCTGTTTTTGAACGAACGATCCAACATCAGGCGCAAATTCGATCAATATTTCATATACTACAGCCAGGTAGGTTTCACGTGTTCGACTACCATTTTCTGCCACTGCTACATGATCACCAGGAATCTCCAGTAAATAGCAAGGCCATTATGCCTTATGATGACTTTTACAATATGACACTGGGATTTCGACATGATTCACCAACATCATCACCTTATGGTTACACAGTTAAATTATCCAAAAGGCATCGACTCAGCAAAGCAAGTGTTTAATCAGGCTCTCTAGCTTTTGACTGCGAATACTATCAGTGGTTGACTACGTGCTAAGTCAGCTTGTTGAGGTAGTCAACATGACGCGAGTCAATAAGAAAAGCAAAGGAGCAGCTTGGTTTGTTTCAAACTGTATGACAAGTAGTAAAAGGGAGCTATACGTCAATCAACTAAAGGTAGGACTTGCTAAGATATCGTTCTCAAAGATTTTTGCACAAAACTTTGAGCTGCCACATTTATAGGCCCGAAGCATTGTTGTTCATTAAATTGTCTGCGATAATTGCCCACATTATCGCCTTTCACAAATCAACATATAGCTTATTAGTTCTTCATTTGGCCAAATTAGAATATCAGCGTGTTTATCCCATTTACTGTAGCACATCAGTGTATTTATTTTTCCAAAAACCATCCTTTAAGTTCAGACAAGCAACGAATCTCTGCCATGTAAACGTAAAAGCGGACCGCCATTCAGTACACTAATTTCATGTTATACAATTGAGATCACAAGATGATGCGCTTGAAAATTTGAAATTTGGTCACTTTGAAAAATAGATGAAGAATGTTGTCAGAAAGGGCCAGAAACCTTAGTGGTGAAGCCGCAGGAGAGCGAACAATGGCTCAGTTGTCAATGTTATTGAGTTTTTTCATCAATTTATCATTATGCTTCCAACAAAAATATTTCAAACAAAAATTTGTTTGAGATGTTGATGACATGATGGCAAAATGTTAGGCTGGTTATACTTGAACCTCTACAACCTCTCTTCTAGTGATATCACAAAATTAGCCGTACCCAAGTAATCAGATATTAGCCTTCCAAATACTACTTTAGGAAAGCGTCTTCCAAGCACTTTTCTAATATAGTGCTTGGAAGGCAAGGCAAAAGACAAGCAAAACCTGAGAATTTGAATAGTCCAGCTGCAGTTACCAATTAGAATATGCTCAGCCAAAACAGAGATGTTTTGCATGGGCTTCAGTTCTGGCTTAGCACAAGGCGCTTTTATTAGCTTACAAAGAGCGGTTTATTCATTCTAGCACATAGCCAGTGCCACAATTTAACCCAAAAACCTACTTTTCAATCAAGCTTGCTTCATTTTGTTATTTTCCTATCGATATATACGGTGACTGCGGTGAACTGAAATGCCCACCAAGAGGAAAATGTACAAATGACTTAAATGAGGAGTGAGTTTCAGGATAATCAGCAAAATCTCTCACTTTATAAGATTTCTTAGGTACCACTTTTATATCGCTTTTGAGAATTCAATTTGCAAGGACTATGTCACAGAAAAACAATGGAATCAGGGTTATCAATATGATATTGTGCCTATCGTGCTTAAGGTGAGAACAGTTTCGTAAACATTCTCGACATCACTGCTATTCAGAGAACACTTGTAGAGAAACTTGCGCCTCCAAACTCATTCATCGCTGCCGATGATTTTGAAACTACAAAAGATCTTGCTGATCACCTGCATTATCTTATGAGGAACAAAACTGCCTAAGCGTAAGCTTTACGCAGTTTCATAAGATCTTGAGCGAAGCTCGAAATATATTTATATCTCAGATAAGCATGATATAGTTTCGCATGGAAATATTTAATAATGTATCATAAAAATTTAGGGAATATTTCAACTGGCGACAAGACCACAAAGTAGTATTTCTTGATGGTGGTACCCATGACTCACTAGAAAGGCCATGGGGATTCTGCCAAGTGCGTTGATAGAATGCTAACATCAATTTCCAAACAACAAAAATTTAGATCTGTCGACTGTTATGGGAGAAAACTCGGCCAAAATTTTCAGTACCATGTAAGCATCAAATTTATGTCTTTTATTAGGCACAAGAATGATGTTATTTTTTGGGTTATCAGAGCAAAAGTGAAATGCTTTGGAACTAGCACTTACAAATTGTAACTTTATGGTTTTTCAAAGGTGTGCAGAACATATATGATGTGCGCGAGAGGACCCAGTATTGCAGGGAACAAAATGCCGTTTTTCGTTGATTTATATTGTAAATTTCCAATCATCGAATGTAGCTAGCATACAATGCGAGTGCTTGTGTCTATCTATAAAAACGATTGACGGCTGCTTAGGATATTTTGCGGCTGTGATCCATTATTAGCTGTACTGAAATGTCTTTGTATTTCTGTTCATACTCCTCAGAGATCCGTCATTCCTCGCCGAGAAAAGCCCAAAAGCGCCCAGAAAAGCCCAAAAAAGCCCAAAAAGCCCGAAAAACCGACAAAGCCTGAAAGAGCCGGGACCCAGAAACGAACTTTTGGTAGAAATCTGGCCTTATTTTGAGATCGTTCAGACCGCGCACAAAGGCGCACAAAGGGCTTTTTTTGGCTTTTTCAGGCTTTTTTTCGGCGAAGTATGACTGGTTCCTTACAGAAAACGATTCAGCAGACATTCGATAGTCATTTTGCAGAGCTAGCTTTACCCTATCAATTGATGCCCAATTAATTTTTTGGTGTTCACCTTGCCGTGGTAGCATGAAAAACACCATCATTTTCGTAATAGCTTAGCATTTGTAAGCAAGAAAATCCCCTTTTCTGTGCATAATGGTCTGCGGTTCAGAATCCTGGACTTCTCAGAGAAACTTGATTACAGCAACTATAACGGTCGTGAAAAAGAAGTTGGTGAGTGCCGTTACAGATTTCGAGGAATACTGGGATTGGACTTGCGAGAAAGATGGGGAACTAATCGAAAAACTTCTAAAGAATGAGAGGAGAACTTTGAGAGGTGAGATTGATAAGCGAACATTCTTTAGCTTCAAT